TTGTACTGTTTTTACAATCTTATGCTCATGGAACAGTAGGAATGCACTCTGAACCGGCTTGAGATTGATGGGTTGAATTTTCTTTTTTTACGCCTCGAATGGGAAGCACTAAAATCTAAAAAAAATCGATTAGATGGACCCAGGTGAATCGTTACTTTGAACTTTGTTAATGAAATTTGAAATGTAATGAACTTTGAAATATTTTTTACTGATAATTTTGTTGTAGGGCCCCATTTTATGGTTACTTTTAAGGAGAATCCGATAACCACCTAAACGTAATCTGCTTTGGTGATCTAAAGAACTAGTTTTTAAGAATAACTTAAGGTTTCTAGGCATAAATTCGGTGACCAGGGCTAACCATGAAGTCAAATTCTTGATGAGTTAGTTGATTGATGAAAAATTCTTTCAGGAATACTTGGGTTTTCTTATCTTGCGAATTAATTTTTGTTCGGCTAAAGCATTATGCGTCGAAATCCGATTCTAGAAAATCTATGAACATTATTCAACGTTTAGAGGTCATGTAGTCTTGGTTTGAGGTCATGTAGTGTATAAAATCGGAAATAGCTTGCATTCATCACTGTAAACACTCAAACCCTAATAGCTTATTCCAGTTATCAATTTTTATTGCGGCGTTTTGCGCGACGCAATTGAAGGTATAAATCTTAGCAATTCTGGATGGCGCTCTTAAAATTTTTCCCATTTACGCAAAAGTCCTATAACCAAGCTCCAAAGTTTTTTACATCCGCCTGAAAGCACGGCAATTTCAAAAGCTGTGTAAAAGTTGTAGTTTTTTCTTCATATCACAATTTCCTCAAGAGAAACGATCCCTTCATTAAACCCAAGACCTCATTCACTCAGGACAAGTTTGGCAACGAGTTAGCGGCTCCCGTCGTATAATCAGAAAGTTTGCGGCTTCCTGTGAGCGCACCGCGTGATCACGTAAATTCTCGACCCTTGATGTATTACGGAAAGATCGCGTCACGATAATTCAAGTAGGTTCGCGCCTTAATTGTAACGTGCCGTGCATCGTTGACCGTTGAGTGCGTCTCGAGTGCAAGTGAAATGGTACTTGCTTGTTATATATTAACAAAGCAAAGAGGTTATAAGTGTATTAAACAAGGTTCTTGCTCCACCCAATAAAATTAATTGCACGCCGGAAATCTTTTCCTCATTTGGCACTGTTTATCCAAACGACAAGCACTCTATGCACTTCTGCTCCTATAAATTACAATGAAAAACAATTTCAAGCCTCCACGCACTCCTATCTTTCTCCCCAATGCTAGTTGTACGAGACTTCTTTTACGACACTTATTTCTGTACTGCATTCTAACTTCCCTGCAGCTTTCTTTGATAGCAGTTCGCTGTCATTACTGTTTATTTGGTATGCATTCGCAGAGCTTCTCATTGATGCAATCCAGCTTCGAATGAATTGAAAAAATGATTGTAATGCCTTCACTTTTTCTCACATGCAGTAAGTGAAACAGATAAAGTTCCAAGCAAAAATGCTGAAGTTAGAAAGAAAATCGCAATATAAACGCGTACAAGGCAATTGATTTCAAGAGCAATTGAATTTTTCTATTTGCCAACTTGCAATACTAAAGAAAATGTTCGATATATTCTTTTTTTCGGCAGCAGCAGCTTACAGATCGAAATTTTCACGGTTTACTCGTGATAATAATTTTAATTTAGAATGGGTGTTACATTTCTAGAACCATATTGACTCAGGGTGATATCGTTTTAAGATATTGGCTTCAAGTTGCGTATGATATGGGTATTCATACTTGAAGAGATGAGAGTTTGATTGACGGGTATTTTAATTTTACGCTTCTTTTTACTTATTTTTTGTTAAAAACATTTCCACTACCTTTCCGAACACATGCCTACGCCTGCATTTTTTTAGAACTTGCATTCAAGACATACATGTGAGACTTAATTTGATTTCTTCGAGATATTCGAACACCGTAAATAAATATAACTATCGTTTAAACTATTTCAATTTTTGACTTTATGCGTAGTGAGCTTTTATCCAAAACCTGTGAAGAGTTGTTGTAACTCTTCTGTTGTTGTAAGTTGTAACTTCGACTTCGGCAGATCAAACAATGAGGAAGAAACGAGTGAAAGAGGTGAATGTTACCGTGCATCTAAAAAACAGTGAGGAAGATACGAGTGATACAAGTGAAAGTTACCGTGCACTTGAAAAACAGTTTGGAAGACACGAGTGATACAAGTGAAAGTTACCGTGCACTTAGAAAACGTCCACTAAGATACGAGTGATACAAGTGAAAGTTACCGTGCACTTAGAAAACGTCCACTAAGATACGAGTGATACAAGTGAAAGTTACCGTGCACTTGGAAAACAGTGAGGAAGATACGAGTGATACAAGTGAAAGTTACCGTGCACTTGGAAAACAGTGAGGAAGATACGAGTGATGCAAGTGAAAGTTGCCGTGCACTTGAAAGCCATCAGAAGCGAGTGCACATCGTTGATCGGGATCACGGATGAGGGTCACAGGGACGCCCACCATGTCAGATGGTGGCTGAGAGGGCGCAGGTTTAAGAGACTCGTCCCCTTTACATGCAGCACGCAACTCCCACAAAGCCCGCTCATGCATCCGTGTGGTGCCCTTTAAATCGTGCAGCATCTCACCTGACCTTACCATGCTTATGGATTATTAGTATTATAACGAATATCCTGTCTGTCCATCTGAAATGGTTTTCAGACGATCTATACTATATTTTTACACCGTATCTCCATCTCATATATTAAGGCAGGTTTCGATATGAATAGGTATTGAAGATCTATCACATATAATATTGATTTAGAGATTTGGGTGAGTAAAGTGAGTTCACTGTATGTTTATCTAAACCTTGCTTACCTGGCCTGCTCATACGATAAGGGAGTGATACGTGATTTAATATGTCAAAAACTAAGACAATTAACTTGACCAAACAAAGATAAATTAGGATCTTTCATCTTTAAAGATCATCTTAGCATTGATAACTATTGATAGACTGCAGAGAAAATTAATTACAGATCAGAAATAGGTAACTATGATTTTAATCATTAAATGCTGTTGGCCTAATCTTTGCTTTTGAGTGGGCCTAACGTATGACAAATTACAAATTCATTCCTCTAGGGTTTTCCTATTTTGAATGAATCAATAATTGATGATTGAACGAGCTCATAGTAAGGGAAAAATACTCCTTTATTTTGGTCATTGTAAATAATACGCAATGCATTTCAAACAAATATTTTTTAACAAAACTAAATTTATTCCGAGTATTAATTTCCGTGTAGGAAGCAATGGAGTCACAAAACAACATAAATAATTGGCAGTTTATTCCGATATTTTTACAAATTAACAAGTAAATTAAAATAGGTTGAATAATTCACGAGGTGTAGAAACTCAATTAAAGTTAACTTAAGTCTGTACTGACAGATCACGTTTCTCAGAGCAGAGTCACGACGTTAACTGCACTACTTGTAGGTACACTTTCTTGTTTCACTTGTCTTACTTCGTTGCAATAACTTATGGAGCTGAAGCTGGCACTAAATTATTTGATCCTATTGAAGAAGATAACGTATCATCGCTCCTAGCGTGGCATGTGGCAATATGTTTTAAACTCTGTGCGTTGCGCGTTTATGCACTTAATTTGGTATGTGTAAGGAATTTGTCGTTAAATGACAAAATAGCGGCTATCCTGACAACGACTATGATGATACGTAGGAATAGGAACCGGAGCTTACCGCGAACTTGGTATTTTATGTCTTTTGGTTGTTGACGCTACGTTCCGTTCTCACGTGGAGTCTTCCTATTCAGTGTTTAGTTCTGACAGCTTATCATTCATGCAAACTGAATGTTGATTATTAAATAAAAAATCGTTGGGCGAGCGTTATCTGCACTTCTATGGATAGCGGGAAAAGCTGACAGAGAAATAACATGGTAAAGTATTGCAGTATAACCGTGGCATTGTTCGGCTAACTCTCTTATATTGACTGCATGGCATCGGCACCCGGAGGTGACATTTACTTTAGGTCAACGGTCAGACAAAAGCCTTATTTGAAACGTCTCCGTAACTCTTCAGTTCGCAAGTTTCCTCATTAGCAAACGCTCATCACAATACGAGCTTAATTTGCACCCAAACACGACAATTAGTTTCTTCCAACCTAATAATCTTTCAAATTTTCAAATTTGAAGTTTCAACCGAATCAGTTTTCCACGACCATTAGCTTCTTCAAACCGAATTTCTGGTCGTGGTGAGAACAAATGCTCGTCTGAAGATCTGGGCTGTCCGGTATCTGAAAATTTACGGTGGAGAAAATCTCAAAGAGGTAGAGTACAATGAATTGAAATACGCGGTTGATATTGTGAGCATTGAAATACTCAACCGTAATAATGTCTGAATAATGCTTTATTGTACTATTCGGGTTCAATACTTAGAATTTGCATTCTTTCTATTTTTCCGGTGCTTGCTCGGGTATGTTTATATTTAATAACTATTATAATGGTTCACAAAGATTGATATAATCGAGAAACAACTTTTATACTATAATAGTTGGTTAACGTCTGGTGTTTAATTTTATTTCTTGAATTACAACTAATTTTCTGGCGTATGTCCACCGTCATTATATGGCATCGATTTGCTCGCTTTCTCAGGCTAGGCAGGAGATAAGTTCGGTGCTTTGACAGCGCGTTATTTAACAAATTGAAATATTTTAGCCCTCAAGTAAGCCTCCAGCTGGACACATGCATTCAGATAAGTTAATTGGTCATCTTGTCCAAATAGCGACACACTATCTGCACGTATCAGTGATACGCCATTTTACTGGGTCTAAATCGATCATGATGACCCATAAAAGCGCGTCACTATTTGGACAAAGTCTCGTTATTTCTCTGAGTACTTCAGATACTGCCGCAATGATACAGCAGCGCCAGCCTGCCTTGCTGTCGCCATCGCTGACGATCACCAAATAAACATACGCGCATCAGGCGGCCCTCTTAAATAAGGCAGTGCCCTGGCGCTGAACTGTTGGTGCGCTGAACTGTTGGTGCACTGAACTGTTGGTGCGCTGAACTGTTGGTGTGCTGAACTGTTGGTGCACTGAACTGTTGGTGCGCTGAACTGTTGGTGTGCTGAACTGTTGGTGTGCTGAACTGTTGGTGCGCTGAACTGTTGGTGTGCTGAACTGTTGGTGTGCTGAACTGTTGGTGCGCTGAACTGTTGGTGCGCTGAACTGTTGGTGCGCTGAACTGTTGGTGCGCTGAACTGTTGGTGTGCTGAACTGTTGGTGTGCTGGACTGTTGGTGCGATGAACTGTTGATGTGCTGAGCTGTTGGTGTGCTGAACTGTTGGTGTGCTGAACTGTTGGTGTGCTGAACTGTTGGTGCGCAGACCCACATTAATTGGATGTTGTATGGATTCAGATAATAACATAAGAAGCTATATCGGGATCTCAGCTTAGATCCCTCGTTCCTATAATAGACAGGGATTTTGCATGTGATGAAGTTATAGCTGTCGGTGAGACCCAAAACGGGTTAGGAGCTGAAGGAAAAGCTTCAAATTTGTGGCATCTGCTTACAAACTTATCGCGATAACTGTTTGTGCTTCATAATTTCTCTATTAACTACGAAAAGCCTAAAAATATCCATTTAGGCAGCTTATTTATCCCAACAAATTTTCTCTCTGCCTTGAGTTGACGCAGAAGTTCCTGTAAAAAAAATCACAGATTCGAATACGTGTCGGTGGCAATTCACTCTCGACTGGCAACTCAGTAGGAATAATACAGCGAAGTTTGTCTGCGTCGAGCTACTTCCGTCTTCCTTGTCGTCTACTCAGGGAAGTTTTAGCATTACATATTTATGGAGTTCTTCAGGATATTAGGCACGCTGCGCCATGGAAGCGATCGCTTTTCTGGGCTGGACGACACTGCAAAACATCTTGAAAAGTTTACATACCAAGATGTAATAGGATACTCAAATCGGCGGAAAGGATAAAGGATTCACTAGGACATTCAGATCGGCAGAATGTCGCGTAGATTCCTTTATATGTATTATCGAATTGTAATAGGAAGAAGTCAAATCTTGACTAAAGTGTGGGAGAAGTTGCGTCGGGCACCAAACGGTTTCATTCAGACTAGTTATGTTTTACGATAGATATTAGCTTTTCGTATGAATTTTTAGTTCATTGAAATGGCGGTAAGGAGTGTCTTAGATGAATCCACTATCATTGACAAATGGGTGCCCGCAAAAATCGCAAAGGAATATACAAAAAAAAAATGAAATGTTCGCAAAAAATTCCAACAAATCAGTGACACATAAATTAACTACTACTCCTACCCCGCGAAAGGAATTCGGATATTTTTTATTAAAACTTAATTCGATTTATTGCATACATTTTTAATTGTAGTCTCTGTGCGAGATTCAATTTCGTTTTCAATCGTTAGAGCTGAACGCTTGTTCTTTTTCTAAGGCTAAAAATTAGAATGAGTAGAATTTGTGGGGCGAAAATTCTTTGCTATAATATCCCAGCTCTGTGTATTGGTATGCTTTCCGCGCTGCTGCTGCCTTGCGGCAAACTTTCAAGTCCTCCAAACTTTCTAGGACAAAAGTTTCGTTGAGTTCATTTGGAAAATTTTGTCTCATTTTGATGACCTGGTTCAAGTTTTTATTTTAATCAAATTTTATTCATGTCCATTTCAATAGGAGATTCTATTATTATTTGGAATGGGAAAACCATATTGTGCCATATTTGTGTATCCCGTAATTGATAATAATAAGTCATATTTTTTACATGTCATACCGCTGATGGTAATAATCCTACCTTATATCGTTTACGAGTGTATATAGTAACGCGTGAAACTGCAGCATATGTGAAGTCTTTGTCATACGACTACAGAATAATCATTCATATACAATTACCATTGGGAGGGTGCAAATTAATTTTAATATTTTGTTATAATATAATATTTTAATAATTACTTTTCATTGTTCGACTTTCTGTTGAAATGCCAATATACTTGGTGATTTTTGCCGGAAATACTTGTTTAACGTACCTATCGAACTTTCTTCGCAGCGTGCCTTTCAGATGATCATTCACACATAATTCTCAAGAATTTGTGTAAATATTACTCTATAATCTTAATCAACAAATCATTCACTATACGTCATCGAGAGACTCGATATGTATATTCTGCCATAATTATAGTTTATGTTAATCTAATTTTTATCACTTTCTACCATGCTATACAATTTAGGCCGCCTAAATTCACTAGGTATCAATAATAAAATTTTTACAAAACACATACGAAACCAAAGACCGGTCGAATTTATCGTCTCACAGATCTTCGTTAAAGTTGCAGTAGAAGTTCGTCCAAAACACCGTTCTAGTCGTCAAGACACAATTCTCCCATTCCCTGCTGCTGGAAATTCTGGAAATTCGTGTAAATTCGCCACACTTGCTAGAGACTTGCCACTAGACGACATTAAACCTAACTGTCTAAGACGAAATACCTAATAAAGTCCGCTACACTAAGTTTTGTGGTTGCCCGAAATGCATGGTGTCGATTCCAGAGCAGCTTGTGGCACTTCTATTCCCTTACTGAAATGCAGATAATAGATCAGCGTAGCAGAAAATGTTGAGTGATAAACAATAATTGTTAGTGAAGACTTGTATCTTGAATATTAAATGTCTTTACGAATACGATTTGAGCCTAAGAATATAGTACAGTTTCTGTTGAAACGTGAATAATTTTTACGGATTTCAACATTAATTCATAATCTTGTGAATTCAAAAACAATCGAATTTCATTAGAAGTGAGAAATAACTGGTGATTAAAGGCGTAATTCGATGAGAACAATATAGCTTCTTTCTATAACATTGAAATTATTCAACTGAGAACAGCCGCTTTGTTTCACTTACTGCCGATCACTGAATTCGAAGAGCATTAATTATAGATTGCTTTATTTTTATTTATTATTTGATTGTTTTTTTATTGCTCGCACTATAAATATTGTTGTAGTGCGTCACTATAGTTAGAATATCGATCTTGACAAAGCCGTTTAATATGCTCCTCCATCGCACCTCCCGTATATTACTGAGAAAAGTCCGAATGCCAATTCATGTGCTGGTGAATTTACTAGGTAGCACTATAAACAAATGCCATCCCTTTATAAAGTCGTAATTTTTTACCCGTAGGACCGTGTTGCAACCAGCCAAAATGCTTAAGAAACCGATATCACACTGCTGAATTTGTTTTCCGGCTCCTCAGATACAAAAATTTTCCTAATGTGTGCCCCTTCCAAATTGTCGTTTGTGACTTTGGTCTCAGTTATGTCTGCGGAAGTCTTCTAGGTGGTTTTTGGCCATGCAATGCAATAACTTAAATTTATCAAATACCAAATATTGAAGCATTTCATGGTTTTTTCATGAAAAAACTTTTCTTTACTTTATCGTTGAGGTTTTAACGATCTTAACGGTACTTGCAGACATATAAATTCTACTGCCTCAAGCATATGAGTGATAAATCACTCTCAGGAATATGGCTGATCTTCGGATCGTCAATTAATTCTCTGGTATACATAAAAGAATGTTATGTTCCGCATATTCTGGTCTGACACCAAAATTACTTTTGTAATGGGGTGTGAACGGCGCAGAATTGTGATGATGTTGCAGGAAGAAGACGTGCAGGCATCGCCAGCGGGCTTATCAAACTCATCGGTCAGTCGAGGTCAGGGGCGCGCGTGCTCAAGCCTGTCTTAGCTCCCCGTGTAAGACTCGTTTCAACAGCTTAGTTCAATCGACTCAATTCTTCACAACGTGGGAAAAGGTTGATAACATATCGAGCATTCCAGAAAAAATATAATCCATATGCTATTTCGGGCAGTACGTTGTCAAATAAATAGAGTGAATATTATCCTGAAGTTTATTGGTGAGTTTAGCGTTTCGCTCATTTCGCAATAGGATTGCATAAGGCTCCCTCCGAACAAATGTTAACGAATCTAATTGTCGCAGGAGACATATTCCCACACAGATTATGATGTATTAAGTAAAAATAAATTATTTATGTGTTCACTTTGCCATCGCGATCTGGATTTGTAAGACTGAATTGTAAACGAAATTATTTTAATAAAAAATAAGAAAATGTGGTAATTTTTCGTGTACTGCGTTTGTCAAAATATTTTTTAACAAATATATAGTGCTGTCCCAGCTGTGTCGTTTTGCACGTAGAAAAAAAAGTCATCGTTTGTTGATGTGAGATCATCAACAAGCAGCTGCCAAGACGCCTTGCTGCCGAATAAGCTGCAAAAATATCTGCGATGGAATCCAGGAACTTCCAGGAGTTACTAGAGTGCTGTTGTTGTAACTTTCAGCGGGACTTGAAGCGACTTCCATCCGAACTTCATTGGGTTGTATAAACGACAACTGCTTCGTTCTTAACTGCGCCCGCTCAGGTAGCAAACGCCGCGCCAGGTCTACGAGAAATGCTTAGTGCGACCAGCTGTAGGGAACTGCAGCCAAGTTGTGTTGAATTAGACCAAGGAGCTATTTTTACACGGAGGTACTTGCTTGTCGTAAAGCGTGCACGAAAGTTTACTATATTTATTGTATTGGTTAACGATATAATTATTGTTCTGGTTTTCATTTAATTCAATTTTGATATGGATGACAAAATGGTCACGCTCTGTAATGTTATTGCCTTGTATTGAACCCAATTATATGGGAAATTTATTTATCGAAAACTTTTAAAGTAAAAATTGTTAGGAGTTTTGTTCATAGTTGATTATTCAGCTGTTTGACTCATAATTATTAGGTTCACATTTTGAAGAATGGGAAATCTGGAGTATATATGGTGTTCTGTACCTAAATGGTGATGGGCTCGTGACATTTATAGTTTTGGAAAAACAGAGAGCATCGAGAGAGACGACAGATAGCACCGGAAAAGAGACGAAAGAGGTAACCAACATCTACGTGAATTCTTATTAATTCCTCTGACACGTTCTCCTGAATCTCTGTATCATCTTTAAAGGCTTGAGCGATTATAGCGATATGCTTTGATATGACAAATCGTGAGAATTAACCGTGCCACGAAACCTAAATTAGGACTTGTGTGAAGACCCCAATTGAGACTACACTTCTGGTATTTCAAGAGGGATTATCGGACATACTAGGCCACGGTGCTGGTTCCGTTGAACCGCCATCACCGTAACAGTTTCGGTTCATCATCAAGAGTGGGATATCTACTTAGAAATTTGTTAGTGAAAGAAAACCGCTTGCATACCTATGTATCATTGTATTATTTACTGATTACCGTCTAGTTGAACCACACAGGTACGGTCACGGTGACCCCTGTAAGTTAAATTATTGAACATTTAATACAATTGCTGTATAATCAAAATTCAAA